TTTTCTTAAAAGTATAAATAAATAAATAGTTCTTAATATTCTAAATGTCATATAATTTGTACTTGTATCAGCAAGAGTTGTACAAAGGTTTTAGTTTCGTGTACAAGCATGTAATGATCATAAACCACAAACGCGTAATTTTACCAGTTGAAAACGTTGTATTCTTGTTCTCTTTTTACACGAAAGGGGCAATAAAGCAATAAACGGCGAGATTTTTGATATAAAATCCAGTGCGGGCGATCTCTCTATGAGAGGGCGAGGCGCGTAGAATCCGCGGAATCTGGAGCACGAAACGACACGGCGAACCGGCACGAAAGGGCGCGGGAAGGCAGCGCGAGGAACGGGTCGGCTGGAAGGCGGATAGGACCGAGAGGAGAGTGAGAGAAAGGAAGGAGGGAAGAAAGGGATGGCGAAACAAAGCGGCGTCCCTTTGTCCCGCTCTCGGTGTAGCTCGCATCGCTCTCGCGCTCGCGCTCGCGCGCTCACCCAGGCGCATTTTGCAAAGAGCGCGTCGCGAGACTCTTGTTGTCCCCGCGATATTACTTCCTACATTTGCGCAAATTATATCGCCGCGGCAGAGACGCTGCTGCTGCTGCTGCTGCTGCTGCTTGCGAGTGCTCGTTCTCCGCACTTTTGTTCCCGCTTAACTTCTAAAGCACGTCCGCGACACGAGAGATAACTATTAATCAAAGACGTGAGCACAGGGGACAGCGAAACGAGAGAGATAGAAAGAGGGGGGAGGGGGAGAAAAGAGGACGTTCACCTAGTTACGCCATTGCTATTAACTACGATCTACTACCGTCAATCTTTTTATTTTTTATTTTAAAGAAAACAACGACGAGAAACTTCGAATATGATCGCACGAGTGACAGCTGACACGATCGTAAAACGTAAAACGCGTTGCATATATTTTCTTTTATTTAAGAGCGTATACAAAAACGTCACAGTTTGATTGAGTTATAAAGGGAATTGATTCTTTGCGCGGAGACGGCTATTCCCCTGCGAGATTAAAATTTATTCTTGTCGGATAAAAATTGAATAGATAATGAAAAAGTAGAATTATTAGGTATATACGTAGGAAAAGCATTATTTTCGTGTTATCATAATTCATTGTGTAATTGTTATCGAAATGTGTGATAAATGTTATCAAATGAGCAATTTCACACCTTTTTTTCTATCCATCGCGATAGGAAATTGCGAAAACTATATTCTCCGGTTTTTATATCTCCGATACTCTTCTCCGATTTTTCTTGTCGGTGTTTCCCGACTTTCTCGTTTTTCACGGTTTGCTAGACATTGCGTCTTAAAACAACGAACGACTCTCGCGAATAACTATTTCGCCTTTTATTATCCTCCTCGCGAAGGATCGAGTTACAGAATTACGAGCGTGATGCTCGCCAGCGTGCATTCGTTTATTTGGCTGGCAAGCAAGGAGAATGGCTCATTCGTCCTAACATCTAGCTTTTCTGTTATACCGATGATCAACCGTCACGCGAAATACGTGACTGACTTTAAATGTAAAAATAAGTGGTACATAATCGAACCAGAGAAATATACGCGTTTCAGAAAATATTTCTTTATTAAATATTTAATAAATAATCGGATTATTATTCACGGAAAGAACAATTTTGCTGAAATAACTAAATATTTGACTAATTACGTGGGAATCTCATGACGATTAATGCTTCAAAAAGTTTGAGCGCGACATTATTATTCTGATAACCCAAAATTATTTTCGGTGTCTAAAAAAGGTAAATTTTTTTAAGAGAGAGAGAGGGGGGTGGCAGGGGAGAGAAAGAGAGAAAGAAGAGAGAGATACTTCGGTAAAACAATCCTTTTCGTATAGGATTATTAAATCTCACTCGAATAATTTACAATATTTTTTACATATATCCGTGCATATTCAACATATCTTGTATTATATTTACATATCATATTTATACAAATGGAAATGTGACTTATAATGAAGGTTTTATACATGTAATGTATAAATTTTATAAGATAGAAATATGTACGAAATATGGATTTTCGATACGGGTTAACTATTTCACCTCATACTCCTTCATTCACAATTTTCAAAATTCTCTATATCAATCCTTCAGAATATGTAGATAAAGTGAGATCGAAGATCAAGGTATATGTGAAATAAGGATCGGGATTAAACCTAAGATTTAAGAATCGATAGTTGTCGCGTAAAGCAATACGTCACCAAGTGGCTTTCTAATTCACTTCGTATCAAATTAAAAAATATATAAATATTTTAATTTTTATATTAAAATATAATAAATATAATGTAATAAATATCGAAAAGATGGAAATCGAATCCAAAACTTATCGATTATAACGAAGGATCCAAGACAATGTTTTCATATGGAGTCATGCGTCACTCCATGGATTCTTATTCTCGAAAAATATTACATATGAAAATATAAAAATATACGTTACGTACATTATAGATTTTCGCATGAAATATAAATTCAGGAATATAAAGACCCATAATATTAATAAAAGATATCCTCCACGTTGATAAGTTTACGAATGTTTCAAGTGACATTGACAATTTTTCTCAATAATACGTAAAATTGTTTTCAGCCAAATCATGTTTGTACACGGAAAGAACGAAATTTATTTTTGCAGATACACAGATCTGAAAAGAATTTTGTTAGATTATCAAAATTAATTATGTAGGAAATTCAAACATGATAAGTAATGTTGCAAAAAAATTTGATATTCTAATAACCAGCTAGCACATCTTACATAATTATTTTAATAATTCAACAAGATTATTTTTAGATCTGTATCTATAGCTAAATAAACACTTTGGTAAAACTGTTCCTTCCGTGTAGAACATTAATACGAACCTTTATTTGAGCTTATCAGTCACATCTCTTCCAACCAAAGAATAAATAACTGCTCGATGAGAAGCATACGTAAAAAGGCGATCGCGTGCCACGATGATTACACTCGATTATGCGTCCGCACGGAAAGAATAGTTCTACTTAAGTATTTAAAAATTTAGCTATTATAGATACAAATCTGAAGATAATTTTATAAGACAATCAAAATAATTATGCAGAACGTTTAAACGTTAATAACAATACTGCGAAAAGTTTTAACATTTTAGCAATCAGTTTAAGCGTCTTACAAAATTATTTTGATGGTCCGAACAAAATTATTTTCAAATCTGTATCTAACTAAATTTTTTAAACACTTCAGCAAAACTCTAATTTCCATGAGCTATTAACGGTGGTTACGTTATCGCTTTCTTTGCAACATTATCACATGAAATTTGTATTACAGCGTAAAAAAGATTAATTTCCATTCGTTTCCATAAAAAATCGCTAATGATACCCTGACAGAAAGACGTCGTTCGAATCGCGCCAATGACGGAAGCAAAAGACATTATAAGCACTTGTCGTAATGTAAGATTAGCTTACATTTTTTTCAGCAGCACGCAATGCATCACGAACAGTTTCCTGTTAAATAACGATTTTCGTAACCAGTGTCCAACTTCTCTTGGATTAATTACGTTTAATGATAAATCACGATAATTATCACCTGTCTCGCACACTTTACAGACGATCCGCCATGTATCTGAAGAATATCCATAAATTTAAATAAATAAAGACACTCTCAATATAAAACGATAATAAGTAGAGTTATTAAGGATCATATAAGAGTCAACGCTTTGAAATTAATGCGCAAATAAATATCTTCAATGTTACAAAATTTCAATATACATGTCGAATTTTGCAACTTACGTAAGTAACAGAATTACTAAATAAACTTACAAATGAACTAGATAATATTCGTAAAGAAAAAAAGTTATTATCCAAACAAAATTATATATCTAAATTTTTACAGCTCTTCTTGAGTCAATTACGTTATTCCAGTTATCGTCATAATTATTAGCCGTTTTGCGCGGCAGTAAAAAAAAGTGTGACGTCATTCCGTCTCGAAAACACCCGCGGAAAAATTATCGCTTATCGTTCGTAATGTTTGCTTAACTTTTTTTTTTTTGATTTTCCTTAAACCAATTATGTTGTATCATTAGTTGTATTATTAGTCACCGCAATAATTATCGGCCATTAAGCGCGATATTAAGAGGAGTATTACGGCACCGTTATCGCCACACCGCTTCGTATGTCCGTCGGTGCGCTTCGAGTATACTCGTCGAAGAAACGATCGAGCCACTTTGTGCCCCTTGAGCAGAGCGGCGCCACATCAGCGTCAATAAGCAAACGAGTGGTGCCCACATATCGCCCATTGGCCGGTTCTATGAACGGCAATTGTTGTACGTTGACTTGCGGGCTCTATAAATAATCCTCATAATTTCTAATGGTTGCGCCTCTGCCCCCCCCCCCCCC